TGTACTATCCATTGTATTTGATAGAAGGGTTGGTTTTTGCTTCACAATTTTCTAATTTGGTTTTGATTGAGTTATCTTTGGTGTGTTCTGTTACCAATASAAGGAGCCAATTGAGACTATCACCTTTTTAAGAAATTTTACTTTTACTGTTGTAAAACATATAGTGAACTGAAGAGGTTTTAATAAACGAAACTAGTTTTCACTATTCTTGGTAGTCCCTGGCCTGTACGTACGAAAATCGTTACGTTGGAGTGATTTACATTTGTAAAGTTTATTGCTCTTACTTTTATTACCTTTTAATTAGTAAATCTCCATTAATCAACAACTATTGTGCAAAGGGCAGCGAACAAAATTGATTGAGAGAGTAGAATGTGAGCTGTGGAAGCCAAATTAGTCATATGTTTTTAAGCAAAATCCAAAGTCTAGGGTGCTGGCACTGTGACATCAGAATGCAACTGAACAAATTGTTGCATGCCTATTATTATTGATATACAATGTACTCCGGTCAATCACAAATAAGTATTTCATTATATGTACTTTGGGAATAAACACATTCACGTGAAAAGTGTGGTTTTTGTGACAATTTGCACCATTTAATGATATGCAGCACCATTTATTCAGTCAAAAGATCTTATCCACAGTAACTTTCCATGTAAGATAAGGAGATTGAAAACTTCCACAAGCAGAATTAACCGTTTTGAACTGGAAGAATGCGTAAGGAGAGGGATAGATTGTGCTGTCGGTGTGGTGGACTAGTCAACAAGTCTCTTATTTTTCCAGTAGGCATACGAGCATTTATAAATCCGCTACAAGATGGTGAACGACTTAACAAGTCATGTAATGCGGTACGTATATATGGCTTTTAGACACACAAAAATTTTTGTGAGGTCTGGGAATTCTTGTGGAAACTTTTTATTCATTAATCTATTGATCTGAGGAGTCTTTTTGGGAAATATTGTAAATTCGGCATACAGATCGAGCATTTTGTTACAATGTTTTCATTGATTCTTGATCTCTCCCTCAATAATTTGGTAACTCATCGATTTATAAACTTAATCTTGCGTAACAGATTGATGCACAGACTAAAATATGACTCCAATTTTTTTTTTCACAATCAGCATTTAGCATTTCAAGTGAATGTATCAGTACTCGAAACTAAGAGCTTGTGTTTACTGTCAGCATATGTTTGTATATTCTCTGCAACTTCACGCAGTGACATTAATTTATTGCAGTTACTTATCACAATGAATACACATCCTGTACCACATAATTAAGGGTGTTATGGGATAATTCAAAATTTCAATTCCCTAACAATGTTTGAATTGTTTTTTTTTTTTTATGGATTCTTATGGAAAGCAGTCCATCTTTAAAATCTGTGGTTGCATCCAGATTGTTGTGGCTTGATTAGTTCAATCTGGTCAAAAGATGAACCCAAATGTTTCGGCAACCCTGTATTATTCAAATTAGCGAGGAACGAAACATGCAAAGAGGGATATTTTGGAGACTGATGCAGAAATCTTGGAAGAAACTTTCTTTCAGAAAGTCGTTCACAGAATAGAATGCGCTTGACAATATATACTGCAAAGATCCTGAGACTTTCATCTTTCATTTAAAAAAACTCAAGATCTACCTCACAATTATTCATCAATTGGTGTGTTTAAGTTTAACAAGCTGGACTGTTTTGCGCTACAAAGACATCTGCTAAAACAACAATTGATAAAAGTTACATAAAGTATGTTTTATAGAGATGCAATGCATCGATTACTCTTTCAATGCTGTAAAGTATAAAGCCCCGAGTACAAAAGATCACTCTTGTTCGTGTTTTGAAGCCAAGAAAGCTAAAATACATATATATATCCAGTAATACAATATTTATTGCGATAAGTGCAGAAGCATTATCCGTGTCTGCAATCTGTTGATATCGAGTACTTCTTGTTACTTAACATAAGCAGCTATTTCACAGTAACATTGTGATACAGTGATCTTAAGAGCAGTATAAACTTGAGTCATTTTAAATTACAGTTGATAAAACATTTATTACTGATTACTACATGTACATTATGTAATCCTTAGTTTAATAAATGTAGCTAAGGCATAACATATAGTTATAGCTAAAAAGATACATATAGTCAGCATTTACCCAAGTATGTTGTATCAAAGCGCTCGATCAAATAATCGCTCTACAAAGCAATTGTTATCATATACACTGACAAGCGATACACTTTTTTATATTGAACACTTGCTAATAATAGGTGGACAATATTCATGGTTTATACAAGCTCAAAGCACAAATAACATATTATAATCTTATTCATCACATAGGAACATTATCTCAAGACACGAACTTGCCCCATAGCTGCAGGAAATATAGTACAATAGCTTGGTTTCTATTTTTTTCATTAATGAGTATACATGTAGTATGAGAATAGTTTTTAGGCTCTGCCTAGCAATTAAAAGAATAACAAGAATGGTCATATAACATTGATACTAGTAATTATTGCTTTTTTTTACTACGAAACTAGCTTTTGAGTTTTCTAAAGCCCATCAGAGTTAAATCACTACTTAAACAAGTTGTTCTTTCCTATCCAGAAGGAATATAAGATAAGATAGGAATATTGAAGCGCTGTCAATGAAACAAAGTTTAATACAATGAAAAATATTTTTTTTAATATTAAGTGAAAAATCTTTATCCTGCTTGTAAAGGATATTCGTCATCCATCTTAATGTGTTCGTCAGCCATTTTGGAATTCACTTGCAATGCTGGCATAAGCTTCAATCGTTATTATGGTCATACATGTACATCCAAATTAACTTAAGTAAATAGCTACTTGTCCCATGAATTTCTGACTGCATCATGCATCCTTAAGTTCAAATCGTACATGACTTCACAATTGCATAGACTTGTATGAACTAAAGACCTAACAAGTTTAATACCTAACATTCTAGATAAAATTTTATGCACTTGCACACGTTGAAGCACACTTTGAATCGAGCAGAAAATAACTAGATCAAAATTATTATCATTGCTAAATTTGCTACTGGTACATGGCAACTATTATCAAATATAAACCATGAATAAGTCCAAAACTACAAAAATCAAAATAACTAACTGCTATCCACTATAAACTCTAACATTATCAATAAAATCAATGGCGTTTTTTTCTTGAAGTCTTCCACACAAAGTTCACTGTTATTTCTAATTAAGTAACCTTCACCTTCTGAGTATGTTTTCATAATTTCTTAAGTTACACAATGCTTTTGTGAAAAGTTCCTCTCATAAACACAGGTTAAAATTTCCTTCGTTTGTCATGGTCACGTGACCTAGCGGCAAGTCTGTCCCGGTCTGCACGTTCGCGTTTCCGATCCATGTCATGCTCAAAGTGACCAGGCCTCTATGGTATTATAAATAAGTTCATCAAATCATAACAAGGTTATGTAGTAATCCATAAGGTAGTCCAAATTTGGCGGCATCCATGAAGTTGGCGAAGAAAATGCAAAGGAAATGAAGTAAATTAGAATGAATGCTTTGAATGTCTCTGCAAAAGAAACTTCAAGAACTAGATGTTTAAGGTCAATACATGTATATCATATTGTGTATTTATATTATGGTTTTGAGGTAGTTTGGGACCACGGGTATCTACAGCTGCAATCACAATATGCAGACAATGTTGGAAAAAGTTTTTAAAACGTTGCAGAAACACGTGTTATTATGACATATAAGTTTTAAACCACATCATATTAATGTTAGGTTTACCAAATTCTTTTTCAAAATATTGATGACTTAGCGAGAACTATTTTCCAATTAGTAGCTAAATTGAACACTTACACTTAACTCTATTGGCCTTTTATCTGGTGATATTTTCAGGACATTATTGCTGTTTCATATCCCTTAACATATGTCTATGACAACCATTTCTTATACCATATTATAATGTATGTGAAAGTTATGTTTATGTAGTATAGTAAAGGTATTTATATCAATTCCCATCAATTTCATTTCAACGAGCTAAACGTTTTAATAACATTTTAAAAGAAAATACGTGGACGTATATGTACTCTAACAACAAGGACAGAAACTGCAGATGAAATTTGATGAGTGTTTTTATTTTTCATTTAAGTTTTTTTCAATAAATTTGCTAATGTTGATTGCATATCAATGACTAGCCTGCATTACATCCGTTTTTTGCTAATGTTTATTGCATGTCAGTGACATAAATTATGTTAAATCTTTCTTGTGTATCATGTGAATCAGGGTCTACAGCAAAAAGTTTTCAGAGAGCTTGTAACATTAAAAAAAACATTTCTCAAAATAATAGGTCCCAAACTACCTCCCATACATGTGGTTATGCAGGACACAAGTTTGCTACTAAAAGAGCATCTGATAGAATGGGAAAAAACAATGATTGAGGAAAAGATTTAGTAAAATATTATTCAAACAACCAATATCATTAAAAAGATATATAAGTAACCAATACGTTTTAAATTCAAGTGTTGATAAACAAAGATATATAACACATCAAAACAACTTGCACCTATTGACCAAATAAGTTGAATTTCAATGGCATTGTTGACGTAAATTACTGTATTATATATATGTAAAAATGTGCAGAACTTAAATTAAGGCTTAAGCCAACATCCAAATGTGATCACGATCTAAGCCAAAAACACCTGTAAAATTGTACATAAAACAAATTATACATGAACATCCAAGATATTCCTTATAAATACTTATGTTTTAAAAAAGAAAATCCTACAAAAATTATCATCCACAGATACTATCTGAGTTCAGTAAATAAAACATCCTACTGATTACATATTTATACAACTTTGCATTACTGTATTACAAAGGAAATAGAATATTTTTGAGATGATCCTAAACAGATTATTTCCCATCCACAAATCTATCAGATGCCCTTGTACATCATATATATCATTATCATTATTAAAACATTATGAAGCATACATATCAATCATTTAGGTAGGATAGTTCAGAAATACATTGATAAGTACATAAAGTCAAGTTTTCAACTTCTAACAATCCATTGACATTCAGTATTTTTCAGGTTTATGTTGAGCAAGAATTCTACTGCTAAAGTTGGCTTAAAGGAATTTTGGATACAATTATAGCACTGTATGAGTTTTTTAAATAGCAATTATACAAGCTTTATGTTGAGGATAATTCACTGTACTCAAGTTTTTTTATGTTTACTATTACAAATACATATAAATGATTTTTTTCTTAATTTTGTGAGAAACATTTTAAAGTAATAATCAGGAAAGAAAAAACAATCATTAATTCGAGTTGAAAGGTAACTTCAATGGAAACTTCATTTCTATAAGAAAAACCTTATCTTGAGCCAATACTTTGGATACATGTAATCCAAATACAATCTTACAAGTACTTACCATACATTTGCTCAATAAGGAATTATTGTATGATTTTAAGTACAATAATTATCATTATAGTAAAAAACGTCATGTAAAACAGTTTTTCATTGATTAAAAAAACATAAAAAACTTAAAAATTAAAAAATGCTTTGCAATGTCATTAATGGTCCATCGTCAACCTGCATTCAATACTGTGGTGACTTAGATTTTTTGTATATGGTAAATTCAAATCTTGTAAAGGATGCTGGTTGACTATGGCCTATCAAAACTACTTCAACAAAAACAATTAACTAAAAAAAAAAACAAAAAAAAAAACATAACAAAACAAAAAAAAAACCGGAAAAAAACAGACACATACACATAAGACCCACAAAACACAATAAAAATTTAAATTGTTAATCATTCTACATTACCATTGGCATTGGTCCACGAGGACCCATTGGGGGACCTCTTGGGGGTGGTCCCATTGGTCCAGGGCCCATTCCCATTGGACCCATTCCAGGACCTGGTCCCCAGTCTCCTCTTGGAGGCCCCTACAGAAAAAACAAAATACATGTAACTCAAGTTATTTTTTATAAGTTGCTGATTTAATCAATTAAATAAAGTTTTCTCTTTGTTCAGCAATAAYGTTAGTCAATTTGGACAAATATGTTCACAAATTTAGTACATAAAATGTAAAATAACATGACAATATTTAAGTGATTAAAATTAAAGGCCCAGTTTGCACCATTATGCTTTGTGCGCCTCTGTTATTGTTTATGATTTACATGTACACCAAAATGTAGTATCCAAATATCAACATAAAATGAATGTTAGATGGTTGAAAACTCTAATATTAGGGTTAAAGTGCTTAGAAAAGTGAGATGGTCAAAGATTCGAAAGGCACAGTACAATTTTATAGACTTTCGGTAAACTGAAAATGGCCGACTCCAGGTGCTCTCAACCCCCAAAGCATAGTGGTGTACACTGGGCCTTTAATATTTAAATCAATTTGCAAGCTAATGAGAACTGGGCAAAAAAATCAATTGAAAATACTCAGCATCACTTGATATAATGTTAGCCGTCAGAATTTTTGTAAATTACTGAATTTCCATATAATGCATTAAATAGGTGGTTTTTGTTACTGCCTCTCAGCTACAGCCATTTTGTTGAACACATGTTGTGGATTCATACGGTAATTCCAATTCAATTTTCATCACTGAGGCACCAAAAGACAAATTATGACAAAATCACACTAAAACTCTTGAACTTACTCTTGGTGGTGGCATTCCCCTGGGTGAGAATGGCATGGGTCCCATACGTTCCTAGTTTGAGAAAAAACAAATTAGAACATTTCATATTATAGCTACAATCATGGACAACATTCTTTGGACAAAGTGTATGTCTACTAAAACTTACTGACAATTTCTCCCCGTGGCCCCCCATTTCCAATGTTGAGAAACAAACCCTCCTTCCATACCGAAACATTTCCGCCAACAACATTGTTAACCAACATTGACTGTGGGGGGAGGGGAAGGCTTTGAGTAAGCATTAAAACAGCCCATAAGAGAGCGCATCTGCTAGACCGCAGTAATAGCGTTCTGTCCAATTCAATTTTGTCTAGGATTGTATCTTATTCATTGTAATATGTTCTTTCAATGGGCAGTAATGACATATTAAAAATCTGACAAATAAACTACATGTTATGACAGCCAAGCCCTTTTATATGGTCTATAATTAACAACAAAATACACATACATTTCTCATCATATCGTCTTGCCGTCTCATAAATTCTTCTTGTCTCTGCCTGAACATCATCTCTTCCCTATGTCTCGCTTCTTCCTGCATTCGCATTTCATCATGATATCGTCTCTCCTCGTCTCGTCTTCTCATTTCCATCTCTTGTTGCATTCTTTCTTGTCTTCTCATTTCTTCTCTATGTTGTCGTTCCTCGTACCGTCTCATTTCTTCCTGCTTTTGCTGTATTTCAGCTATTGACATCAAMAAATTCACTTTAGAAATGAGTATTACACGTGTATACAATAATGTACGTAAGTTTTAAGCCTCTCAGCTACAGCCATTTTGCTGAACACATGTTGGGATTCATACGGTAATTCCAATTATATTTTCATCATTGAGGCATTATTAAACAGCACTTTTGTCTACTTTCTCAAAATTTTGCAGACTTGCCAACACTAACAATTAAACTTCCATTTCGACATTTAATTCTTACATCAATCAAATCTCTGAGCTTCTGCTTCTGCAAGGTTAAGTTCAAGGGATAGATTGATGGAAACAAGAACTCAAAATGGCTGGTTAAGTCTGACTGTCTGTGCTGGCATATTTATCAAATCTTCAGAAAGTATTAATAATTTAAAATACTAAACTAATAACAATATAAACTAGATGCCAACTATGGCTAGCCCACCTAAATACAAGTGCCAGGGCAAAACATAATTGCAGACAAGCAGGTGATGGGATGCCTAACAAAGCTCAGGTTTTACCAATTAAGTCTTAAATAAGACACCTTTTCAGTTGCTCTTAGGCCTCGACAGCATGTTAAATATTCTTTTGAATTTGTAGGAATGTGAGCAATGCAAACATTGATATGAATAGTCTCATTTGTCAAATTCAAAAGAATAATGAACTTTCTATCGAGGCCTAAGTGCAACTGAAAAGGTGTAATATTCATTTACATAAAGCCATGTTAAACTGAAATTCTAATGAGTTATAGACACCTTGCATGTGACAACAAAGTGGCTTCATCTGGAGGACAAAACAAAGGATTTGTCCTCTATTTGTCCTTGAGTTGAAGTTGTCTTCCCACAAAATGCAAGGGGTCTATCGTCCTTTGAGAAGCCATTACTTTTTGCCCTGCTGTATAAATATAATGTTCTCTTTACCCTGTCTCATTAACATCGTTTCATGATCTTTGATAGCTTGCTGCATTTCAGTTTCTAGTTTTTCTCTGGCTTCTTTGAACTGTTGATCAAGCGCATCTCTTCTAGTTTGCTCCATTTCTTCTAGCGACCGCCACCTCTGAGCCCATTCAAACTCAAAGGTACCGCGTGTGGCAAAATGAGGGGGTACCTCAGTTTCCCTGCAAAGATAAATTGATTGAGCAGGATTAATAGAGATGCTGGTTTTCAAGTTACGTCATGGCGGCCATCTTGGAGGAACTTTAACAAAGGATTTCTCACTAGTATCTATTGTTCATTCCTCCAAAATGGCCAATGTTATTTTGTTGTTTGAATTTCATGGGAATGATTTCAAAAAAATATCTGTGTACCAGTAATCTACCCACACCCACAAATAGGGGTAAATCACCTCTTACACTAGAGAAATGGCATAGACAAATGACATTATTACATGTTCAGCTACTCCTATTCAATTGCCCTATTCCATAATGACGTCACAGTATGTTTATATTGTGGATAGATGCTCAGAAAGACTCGAAAATTTGGACTTATTATAGTCTTTCCGAAAGTTGAACTTTAGTGTATCAAGTTTTGATGTACATCATTTATTAATGATGATAGCTCATCTACATTTTATTTGATATGCAGTCACTCTGATCCCCTCTGGCGACCATAATCCTTAGCATTAAAACAGTAGAATCTTTTGGTGTGATGTAATCAAGCAATAAGTCAATTATGTGCAAGTTTAAAGCCTCTCAGCTACAGCCATTTTGCTGAACACATGTTGGAGATTCATACGGTAATTCCAATATATTTTCATCATCGAGGCAATATCAAAACAGCACTTTTATATCTATTATCTTAGAGCTGTGTAGACATTAAAACAGTTAAACTGTCATTTACACTTTAATTCTTACATCAACCATATCTCTGAGCTTCTGCTACTGCAAGGTTAAGTTCATGGGCTAGATTGATGGAAACCAGAACTCAAAATGGCTAGTTAAGTTTGACCATTTGAGTAATGGCATTCTTCTTAAAACTGCCGTAATTAAAGCAATTGTCAAGGCAAAAAGTAGGGCTGACAATCAGTTAGACATGATGTTTACTCGTATCCATACTGAGCAAGGGACTGGCTACTACAGTAGTCAATTGCATTTTTACAAAGGAACGAGAATGTGATTCAAGAAAGATACTGAATTTTATGTTCAATTCAGATATCAAAGATAATCACAATATTTTCCTGATTGGTTTACCATACTGTTCCCCCCCCCCCCCTGGATTTTAATGGTTAACGCTTACTTTTGATATCCATTGTTTCGTTCAAGGTTCTTTGAGGGGAGTCCATCTTCATCGTCTTCTTGTGCATATGCCTTGACTGAGACCGGCTTTGGTGTTCTAGAATGGAGACAGATATAGATATAGAGTCCAGACACCAAAGGGACATTGAAAAGGGACCATATCAATGAGGGTGGCCATATCAGCTGCTCAGAAATGTATGAATGTGTCACACTGTATACCAGTGTGTATAGGTGCTATAAACTAACTTTGAAATTTCGGTCTTAATTGCTAGTATCAAAGGAAGGTCAAGATACACAGTATACAACAGACATATTGTATGTAACGTACTTTAGACTAATGTTCCTTGTACCAAGCTACAATAGATACCAGGGTAGGAGCCTAAACTACATTTAAATACATTATTTTCTCACCTTCCCAACAGAAACAAATTGTCCTTGATTTTAGTCATTGCGGCATTAGCCGAGCTCTTTCGTGCAAACTCGACAACACCATAGTTCTTAGACTTTCCTCGATCATCGCACACCACAACAGCTCTTTCAACATCACCAAACTGCGAAAATCCTTGCTCTAGGACCTCATTGGTTACAAATGGCCCAAGTTCATGGACTTGAATTGCTGCAGCATGCGTTGCGAAGCGTACACGGATGGTCTTGCCTTTGCGTTGAGTCAAGTCTAGTCCTGCTTTCGCTGCCTCTGCATTCAAGCGTGTATCCTTTAGGTGGCAAAGAAAGTGGGAAACGGTTAAAAAGCAATGAAAAGGATGGGAAATAATGGCAAATTAGAATGGGAAAAATTAATGGAAAAAGGTGCATGCAAATATAAAATAGACAAAAAAAACTACTACAAATTCTTAGAACCATAAATTTAGAAATCAAAAATGCCAAAAAAGCGATTAAATATGAAACACCAGTATGTAAAAAAACAAAACAAACTCAAAAAGTATGTTGAATGACCACTTTTCCTTTTTCTATATTCTCGCGTACGAGCGAATATCGGATACGACGCTTCAAACTAGAAATTCGAGCATTTGTTTGAGAAATCCTAAGCTTATGTCCGCCATTTTGATTCTCTAAAATTATAAATGGAACTAAAAGTTAACTCTACATGTACGTGTAGGAGCCATATATTTCGCTTAGCAATTCATAACTTGTCAATGTACAAAACCCCAAAGCTCAATCACTGAAAATCTAAAACGAGGGGAAGTATTTATAAATCGATTTCTCATACACACTTACGAATCTAATGAACCCAAAACCTTTGTCTTTGTTCACGAATATCTCGGCCACCTCGCCATATTTTGAAAACATTTCTTTCATTTCATCTTCTGTACAGTCACCCAAATTCCCCACAAACAATCGACAGCGACCGGTGAACTTTCTATCTTTCTTAGATCCGGAAAAGCTTCGCCTGTTGTTGTAGCCTCCGTCTTTCTTGTTGTTTGGCGTGGTCGACGAAGCATCCCGCTTGCTTGTACCTTCTTCGCCTTGCTTTGAATTTGTCGATCTTCGCGGAGAATAAGACCTATTATTTTCTGGCATCCTTCGCTCTGTTTTATGGTTGTTAAGACAGCTTAAATTTTGCTAAAAACGGGTTAAAAATGACCTAAAATCTACACTTTCGCACCAGAGCGTCTTTTCTTCTCCAACAACCATGTGGCTCCACAATGCAATGCGGTAATACAGAATAACACAGGAAGCCCGTTGATGTGTACAACCGAATCAATCTCAGTTCATTTGCCAAACAAAGCAATTGTATATGCTGACAATATCGCATTTTTTGATCATATCTTTTTCCAAACAAGATCTGACAGAACTGTTAGACAGCCAAAGTTAAATTACTGTGTGCTCTGAACATGCCTGTCACAAATCCTGACAATTCAGTAACTAAAGTTGTTAGCGACGAAGGTGCCGATATTATAAAGGCTAAACAACTAGATAACTTACCGTTAAAGGTGGAGAGCAGACTTTGGATTGATTCGCCTCAAAAGAAACTTCAAACCAAAACACTGAAATAACGTGACAGTGGCGGATCCAGGGGGGGTTCCATGAGTTCATAGGAACCCCCCTCGAGCATAGAAAAATAAAAAAAAATAAATGATAAATGAAATCAAGTGAAAAGGCATCCGAGAAGAATGAAGCTGGCTTTTTCTTACATTAGGTGAGCGGTTTATATTACACCGATTCTCGCCACTCGCTATCGCTATCGCTAGCATTCACAACGATATTATTGTAATTTCTCGTTATATCAAAACGCCTTTTCTTCCCATCCTTCCTCTCCCTTATGGACTTTAACAGGTAGGTATAGGTAAGTATTCCACTGACCGTTTGCAGTCAGTGTGACAGGTGCAAGGTGAGGTTGTGACAGGGTTACCATGGTTACCACCATCTCGCGCCAGGGACCCCACTCCCAACACGCACCTAACGCCAAGCTCGTCTTTAGTGATGAGTTTAATAAGTGACAGGTGTTCATTGGTTTAATCCATCTCATCGGTTGCAAGCAAAACTCCAAAAAATCATTGATTCCTTGAGGAAGGTTTTATAGGTAAATTCATTGGGTGACGAGTGAATTCCGCGTTGAATTCACGAGTAAAGCCGATATCGGCTTTACGAGTGAATTCAACGAGGAATTCACGAGTCATCCAATGAATTTACCTTGAATCTCATGCCTCAATTTTAAAGGAGAAAAAAATTATAAAAACAATAACAAAAAAAGGTTAGAAATGAGCGTGCGTTTGCAAAATTGAAGCGATCGCTCGTGAGTTCAGTGCGAGAATTTCATTTTCAGTTTTTTTTTGTTTTTTTTTCATTTTAGCTAAAGAAATATTACTTTTTAATAACTAAAACAAACAAATTTTTAGCACTCGAATGGCTTTTCAGTATTTTTACTGACAAGCTCAAACCGGTTTTTCAGAGCGAGTTTGCAACGATCATCGGCGGACGGCAAACTTGCAGACAGACCAGGGCCACAAATCCTAAGATTTCTACASTTTTCCATTCTTATCTCGATTAGAAATATCATCTATGAAGAAAAGACTTCGAAAGGTTGTTACTGAAAAATTGAAAACAAGTTTAAAGTCATATTTTGAGTCTTATTTGGACGAACGAAACTCGTCGAAGTCAGTAGTAGCCCTGACTTGCCAAGCAGACTTCAAAACCTACTTCATGTTTACTTGTGAAAGAAAGCGTACTAGTAGTAGACATTCTCAATCAAAAAGTAGCTGAAAAACTCAAACACAGAAACATTTCATAAATTCATCCCATAACTTGTTCTGGCATGGAATATTCAAGAAAAAATGACAAGCGAAACAGCTTTAGTTTTCTGCAAGAAACGGCGTGCAAGAAACGGCGAAGGCCGCTCAATTTTTGTTTACGTAGATGAACTGATCTTGACAAACTTTAAAATGTATTGCACTACCATGCAGGTATTTAATAAATAGTATTTTAATAATTAATTGTGACGTTATATTTATGAGTTTTGGGGTATTTTTTCGTTTGAAAACGTTGCTTTTATCGAGTTAAACTTAACTAACTTAAATGTGTTTTTGTTTTTGCTACTTAAGCTTAACTTAATTTGCAAAAAATAAAAATATTTTGCTTCTTGAAATCTAGATAAAGTGAATAGACAAGTTGTTGGGAACTAAAACAATTAGATAATAACTTTTGCCAGGGTTTTACACGGATTTTGTGAGTAAATTGTTGAAATAACGCAAGTGTTTTTAAGGTAGCTTATCGGGGCGTTGAATTCAGGTTTCTCAGCGTTGAATTCAGGTTTCTCACCGTTGAATTCCACTTGAAATACCCTCTCATCCGGTTGACGTGTTGACCAATCAACGCACGACTTTAAAATTGAGGTATGAGATTCTAATAAAAATTCCATTCTTTGAGTAATTTATTGTATACTGTTATAGTATATATACATTCAACAAAATAATACTTTTTCATTGATCGTGAGGAGTACAATTACAACGTTATGGCGTTAATTCTTAAAATTTTTTTCAAAACAGCGAGTCATTCCAGGATATGCTGACGCTGGTGGTCTTGATGACATGAACGCCGAGTCGTTTATAACTGTTTATTTTTGGATGGTCAAATTCATACAAGACGAGGCGCCAAGAAAAACAAAGAAGCTTATCCGACGTTCGAGAATTGATCGTTTCAGTCACCCATTCCCATGAGATCCAAAAGATAAAAAGGAGGCCATGTTGGAGGAATGAACAATAGATACTAATGAGAAATCCTTTGTTAAAGTTCCTCCAAGATGGCCGCTTTGACGTAGCCTGCAAGCGAAGAATCGCGAGGAAACGAAACGGCATAACTACAATAATATTATATTAATTTTTCAGTGTGTTTTAATTGTGTTTGATTACACGCGAGTTTAGACATATTTTGAATATTTTCACTAGGGGAGTGCGGGGCTGATTACTACTCAACGTTTTCCTGATACAGACCTAATTAATAAAATATTAGTTCTGTATCTGCACTCCCCTGAAAATATTCAAAGCCGCCCCCAACTTTGAGCTTGCTGCACCTTTTATCCAATATAAAGGTATWATSAYGTGATTAGATYSTCAGTATATCATTKGCTAATGACATTATGAATTATTAATGAGTTTGATAAGAATAGCAGACGCAGCAGGTGCAGAACAACCAGAATACACCAAAACTACAAGAGGAGCCGACAGGGACTGGTCTTCTACTATAACTGTTTTTTTTATTTTACGATTTTTCCTGAAAAATAGACCTCTGCAGCTTTTACGTCATGTACCGTATACGCAATGTATTGTGGGACATGTTTGGGACAAAACATGGCGGATTTCTTTTGTTTTCTCTTGAAACTGATCCCACAATGTATTGAAAATCAAGTAGTGACGTAAAAGGTTCAGAAGTCTATTTTTGAGCTACATTTTTTTAAGAGCCCGTCAGTGCTATTGCATTTATGACAAAAATGTCAGGCTAAGATATGAAATATGACATAATTTATCACTAACAATTGGCCGCGAGGCGCAATGAGAGTTAATAACATAAAAATATCGTGCAGACTTCAAATTTTAGAAAAGTGATCGTGCAGTATACCCACATAATTTAACAGAAAAGAAAAAAAAATGGTCTAAAACTGAAACTGCTGCTCCTTTGTGACAAAAATCGCCGGGAAATTGATAAGTTACCTCTGCACCACGTGTACCGAGTTACACCGGATTATAACATTTTTATTTTTATTTTTTTAATTGAGAAATAAATACGAAGCTAAAAACAAAAGTAAAAATGTCTTTTAGATTTCAAATCTAAAATAAGTAATTTCTCGACAAAACAACTTGATTTCAATGATCTGACGGCCCTGTAAAAAGAAAGAAAGAAAAAAGAATTCATTCAAATACAACAATAACCACTCAAAGGTATCTAATATTCTAGCCCTATCAAGTTCGGAGAGTGATGTTCAACTAATTCATTATTGATGACTTTATATCATTAATATATAAGTCATCTAATAGACTTTTTGAAGAAATTTCAGCTTCAGCTTATCGCAACACTTATATTGCTCGGTCCATGGTTTTAAAAAATACTAACTGGATATGATTGTGTTAGCAATTCTCGTTATCCCAGTTTGCGTAGCTTGGGAAAGAAATGGCAAGTCAAAGGAAAGAGGTTTTGGCTCTGAAAATGGTAGGCTCTCTTTAAAAAATAGAAAAAAAAAGAAATGTTAAAGCTATAGATCATCAGACTTTGTAAAAACAGGGTCTGAATGGGGTTAAACGACTAGCGACAAATGGACAAAATAACAACTGACTAGCGACAAATTTGAACAAAATTTACTGACTACCGACAAGAACATATTTAATGACTGGCGACATTTTCCTTAAAATAAATATTTTTAGGCAATATTCAAAGATATCAGCTTCTTGAATACAAGTTTTTTTTGTATCTTTTAAGCAGCTACATTCGAAGTTTTCAGCGGAAAAATATATTTTGATTCGAAATTCGAATTGTGATGAGCCACTCTAAAACTTTGAGTGGCATCCCTTGACCAATCAAGACTCAAGGATCTAACTGTTGGCATTTTAGAAAGCATTCTGTTTATATAACGCACCGTTTTAGATGCATTCAAACTTAATTTTTATCAACTTTTTTAAATAACCGACTACCGACAAATGCCTTGAATTTTAGCTGACTAGCGACATCGAGACTTTATTGCACTAATTCAGTGGTTTGAAATTTTGGATTTTTATTGATCAGCAAAATACATCATCTGTTAGTGTCTATTACAATGTATTTCAACTAAAAGAATATGCTGACTATACTTGAACATATTAATTTATTGTAATCAAACTTGCCTTAAAAAGAATAAAATATATTTTTTTCAAAGGCCGGATTTACAATGAAATGTGTTATAATAGTCATGACTGAATGTAAGCTAGGTTGGTTGCTTTTCGCCTCGAAGGAGTTGACATGTTTTGCTCAATTCCCCCTGTTTTCGCAGACCATATTGCTCTTGAACTACTTTCACTAAATTGCTCATATAGTAAAGTATGTTTTCTATCAAATTCAGAAATGGTTGTTCCGCAAAAGGTGTAAAGTTTACTGAAAATTCTTGAAATGCAAACTGCAAACTTCACTTCGTTCACATCCATCAACTAAATTTTCCAGTTCTTTCTCTCTTTAAGTACTATCAACAAGGACCAATCAGATGCCGTGTTCTATTGTCGAAAATACCTATATTTTCTCTATATTTCTCTCTTTCGAAAAGGTTTTATTTTCACTGGTGAAAATATAAAAAAGATTATTTGACTAGTGAAAAACACATTCGAGGTTTCTCTATATATTGAAGTAAAACAAAGATGTTTGACGATCACATACAATTTGCTTTACGTTATATAATTATTATATGAACAACAGAATATTACATGGTCGCTTTGAGATACGAGTCCGTATCTTCGCCGCGCGCCCATGTAATATCCTCTATCCAATTCTTAATAATGCATAGTTGAGTAACTTCACTTAGCAAACTGACAAAAATCTCGATGCACTTAACTTTCATTAAACCAACACTTTGACCCCATGGATTGTTGTCATGCAGTAACTCAATCAACAAAAGTTGAATCTTAAAACTACTTTGTTATAATTAATGAATTAAATGTTAATATTAGTTTTCTTTTTTGAGGGATGACATTGCTAAACCACGTGATAACCTCACACCACGTAACGTCACCAATTGACTGCAGCTTCTTCTGTGTATCACATGACAAGTGTAAATCTTACAATTACAAACCGAGAGGGGCTGGTGACAATGACATCTGTCAATTGAATAATGGTACAAGACAAACCAACCCATCGTCGTATAAACCTGATGCTGGCTTCGTTCATTATTTCGACCAATCAGAGGTAATTTCTTGTAGCTCTGAGTATCTTCTTATTTTAAAATATTATCATTGTTGTCGGAGTTGTTGTTAGAGTTATTGTTGTTGTTGTTGTTGCTGTTGTTGTTGGAGTTGTTGTATTGCTGTTATGATAAATAATTTATTTATTGTTATTGCTGTTCTTGTTAAATATATGCATTATTTCATTAAAATTTTTGATTTCACCAGGAATTTAAGTCCTGCATCGATTTTCATTCCAATTCACATTGCGTCATTAGGTGTATTGTGTCATCAAAATAGAGTCATTTTCATCCGTCTGTGTAACAATTACTAACTAGTCAGTGTTTAATAGTAACTATTAGGGTGTAGTAGAGTCATCACACTTGCACCGTGAAACAAAATCAAAGAAGTAGTAACTATTAGTTTTTATTTACTGACTATTTGTATGAAATAGTAGATATCACTGAACCAAAACAATWYTTAAMAACAAAAGGTAATACACAAGAGACTTGGAAGCCAAACAACGTTATTAAAAGCTACCTAATGAAGAAGGAGGAATTTGTTAAAAAATGTCCCACCCACAATTAAGGAAAGAAATAAAGAGCTGCTGGTTTAGTTCTTTGTTAAACCCAGAGGAAAGATGTCGGGAAGGGCTAGAGCTTGTGTTAAATGTAGGCTTCATGGAAATCGAGTTTATTGAAAGGACAAAAAGAGTTGATTATAGGGTGAAAGTGAAATAGNCCGCTGGTTGTTGTCAAGTCGCTTTTTTATATTGACTAGTCAAATAACTCAGCTTTGAGCGATAGAATTCGTTCGAAACCACGTTGTTTATAGATTTTTGCGGGTCATTTCAGTGCGTCTTGTCTTGATATTTAGTTTAGGCTCTTATAATAAACTCGTTAGAAAATACGTTCATTTGCGTACTGGGTTTGATATTGTTACAGTATTTTCAATTTAGCCTTACAATGTCTTCTATCTTAATTTTGCTGCGGCGCAGAGAATAAAGATTCCAAACGCGTTTCGTCTTGTGTGTGGTTATTTTAGCTTTAGATTTGTCTTGTGTCTTGATTCTACAGCAGCGCAAATAAATAAAGATTCGTTAAACGCGCTCCCTAGTGTATTGTGTGGTTATTTTAGATCTAGATGTGTCTTTTGTCTTGATTGTACATGAAATAAAGATGGCAGTTGTCAAGTCTCCTGTGTATTGCCTTTTGTTTTCATGAACTGTGTTCTGGTTCAGTAATATCTACTATTAGTCAATAAATAGACACTAATATTTACTGTTTATTTTCATCATATTTCACGGTGCAAGTGTTATGACTCTAGGCTACCAAAAGGCAAAATCAAACCGTGTTTGCTTAGTTTGTCGTATGGCATAAGTAAGCTATTGGGAGCGAATAGCAGGGTAATGGTATTTAGTAGTACAATTCCTATTTCACAGATGAAAGCAAAATGATACTACTATGATTTCTAACTTCTAATTATAAGATATATACATTCCTTTCTTTCAGTCTTTTAAGTCTTGCCTCGACCACTTTCGTAACGGAGCCAAAGAGAATGGTATYTACACCATCACAGACAYCAGYGGMGATTCCTACCCAGTCTTCTGTGATCTCACCTCAGAGCCTCGCTTTGCCTGGACCCTGATCCTCTCATTCGCTTTTAAGAACAGACAGATGATCGCGTTCTGCGGCAAGGGGTTGACGACAAGCTCGCCAATAGAAGAGAATAACCCCAACTGGGAGGCTTACAGACTGTCCCATGGACGAATGCAGCGACTATCTCAAGCGTCAACTCACGTGAGATTCACTACAGGCTTCGCTGACCACGGTGTGGATTTTAGAGATTATTTGCACTCAAAGATATCAGCTTTATTTGGATGTTCTTACGGTGAATACGACTTTCAAAGGGGATTGCAGAGTAGTGGAATATGTTGCCATCCGACAGCATCACGCAAAAGAGGTCACTCTCATCTTTTGGCAATACACAAGTTTGTTTATCCACACAGACACGTCCAAGAAGTTCTGCCAGTTCGACRRTAGTCAGGGAACACGCGGTAGTGAAAATAATTTTGGTGCGTATTGTCAACCAGATTCAGTCAACCCTGATTTTCGTGGATCTCAGAACGATGACAGCACAACTAACTACTGGTTTGGTGGACAACTGTGAGCGATACGCGCATCACGTACAAGTAGACAAAAATTATTCATGATTCAATTAGTATGAAAAGTAAACGTCCAAGAAATTTATGCGAATAATACCGAGTAGGATTACAAATGAATTAGAATGAATTGTAATAACCGAATAAACTAGAATGTTCACTGTTTCTGGTTCATCTTTCTTTGATGTAACTGACATATACTGTGATGTCAGAATGAAATCTGTGTTGCATTTACAAGTAATTTTTAAATTTTTAATTAAAATTAGCTTTTCATTCTACGAAAAACTCGATTCGCTTACCCGGGGGAGGGGGGAGGGGGAAGGGGGGGAGAGAGGTACTCGCCCCCGTTTTGGATACGTACAAGCCGCCCTGACCCTGCTTAAGACTTCTAGAAAGTAAAAATCCATACCCTGCTCAAGACAAAAATAAGGACAAATGAGGAATCGCTATCTACGCCGCAATAATCAAAACTGCAATTATACTGACATCCATCAAAGACGATAAGAAGTTTTTGAAAACACGTTAATCCTGTTACAGTGAAACGGTATTTCTACTATTTCTACGGTATTTCTTATGAAAATATTACCCTGTCCAAGACACACAGAGCCTGTTTAAGACAATTTCGGGTGAAATTATGAAATGTATACCCTGTTTAAGACAGCAAGACCAAAAACCATACCCTGGCCAGCGGCACATCCCGTATAGCAAAT